CTATCATCTAAATTTAAAATTTGTTTAAAGCTAATACCTGTTTGCTTTCTGGTATTTGTATAGAATTGGCAAACATTAAAATTTAAACTTACTCTAGGAGACATTGATTCATACTGACTACCACTGACAAATTAGAGGCCAACCCAAATCCTACAGAATTACAATATAATAAATTCCATTCTGACTAGAAAAATATAACACTACTTTTAGTTTCAAAAGCTTAATTTGAGTTTTGGTGTCAGTTAGAGTCAGCTGCCTCACACATGCTTATTATTCAAATTAGCTGGGGCTTCTGTAAAGATTTAGATTCCCAGTTCATCCCCAGAGGGTCTGAGGCAGGGCCCAGCAATCTGTATTTCTTAACAAGCTCCCCTGTGGGTGTTATGCTCAGATGATTTTGGAAACTACTGAATTAGAGTTTACCTAGATGTTGCAGAATACTTCTTGATGAATATGTGCAATTCGTCTTTTTAAGAACCAACAAAATTTTACTGGAAACGGAGTTTTGGATTTTTTTTTTTAAACAGAAAACCCAGAATAAAGTTCCAAGTTTTTGACTTATGCTTTAAAACAAACAAACAACACCTAGGTAATTTTAGGGGGAAAGACAAAAGATTATACCAGCTTTTTTTTCCCTTCTTCCAAAGAAGAAAGCTCACATGGTGTAAACTCAGGTTTATTTAAGTCCATGACATTATGACTAATATACTGGATAAGAAAATCCATTTTCATTTCTAATTTTTCCATGTAAGTACTCTTCCTGAAATTTATTGTTGTTTTACTTTGGCTTATAACCTTAAAAATTAAATACAAAAAGTGTCTTGTCAGATTTTGCAATTTTCCTGCTAACTGCAGTAAAAAGAGGCTTCCAAGAGTATAAAAACAAATGTCACTTTCATGAGAGCAAAGGAACATTTGACTTTCAAATAAAAATGTATTTGAATCCATGTTGTAGACATTTGACTTTCAAATAAAAATGTATCTCAATCCGTATAGAGAAATATAAAAATTAGTTAAATGTTAGAAAATATTTTAGACTAGAAAGAGAAAAATAAGAATGTAGGATCTGTAATGAGATAGTAGCATCACATGCTCAATAGCAAAAGATTTACTGTGAAATTGTGTCCAAAAATAGAATACTACAGTAAATTACATTTCTGATTAAAGCTCTGAGAGGGTAATGAGAAAGTAACACCTCGATGAAGAGAACAAGGCATCTATTTTTTTTTTTTTTGCAGTTGCCTTTGGTTTGCATGTACACATATACACATATATTTACATGCCCATTCATATGTGTATTTAGAAACTCCTATGCACATATATAAGTTTTTTTGGCATTGCTTTCCTGAAGCTTAGTCAGTTATATTAATGAAAAACAGAAAGGGCATTCATACTTTTAGAATTTCATTTATACCACTTGTAGTAAACCTAGAAAACTGCTATGAGTTTGAGATTGTTTTTCTGATGTTAATCTTGTTTCTGGATCTACATCAGACTTCCACATCCATACTCCCAAAACTGATTAGAGCAAGCAGTCAATAAAAACAGAAAAGCACAAAAAAGAAGTTAGATAACTTTGTAGATATTTCCCTTTGAACTGTGTAAATATAAAAAAACATATAAAACGTATTTATTTACATAAAAACGTGTAGTTGAATTTACACTTATAAATATTGAAGACTTTTATGGAAAGTAACCATGGAAACAAGACACAAATAATAATAAGAATCAACAGGAGATAGGTCATTCAACTTTAGAAAAATTAACTGCTGAGTTGTGCAGGACCTCTCAAAAGAAGAAGAACACGTCTATCAAGAATATAAGGATGAGGACGTCAAGATGGCAGAATAGAAGGATGGGAGCTCATCTTCTCCCACAAATACATAAAAAACACATCTACATTTGGAACAGTTCTTACAGAATACCTATTGAACACTGCTAGAAGGTCTTGTACAAGTAGAACTACAAGGAAAATCATCATGAAAGCTGGTAGGAGAAAAAAGAGAAAAGAAATTGGGACAGGACCTGCCCCTCGGGGAGGGAGCTGCAAAAGAGGAAAAGACCCTCATCCTGGGAAGCCCCGTCTCCAGCAGGAGCTTAGATGGGATAGAAGGGGAGCTTCAGAGGCTCAGAGGAAAGCACAGAAGCTGCTCTGTGGCAGACAGAACAGAGGCTGGCATAGAGGATCTATGCAATCCCTAACCTGAGATGCAATTCTTTGATGAATACAAATGCAAAGATTCTCAACAAAATCTTAGCAAACAGAATCCAACAACACATAAAAAAAGTCATATACACTATGATCAATTTGTATTCATCCCAGGGTCTCAAGGATGGTGCAACATATGCAAAATTAATCAGTGTGATACACTGTATCAACAAGAGAAAGGACAGAAATCACATGGTCACCTCAATAGATGCAGAAAAAACATTTGATAAAATTCAACACCCATTTACGATAAAAGCTCTTACCAAAGTATAGGGGTATACTTTGGTATAGAGGGAACATATCTCAACATAATAAGAGGTATTTATGACAAACCTACAGCCAGTATAATACTCAGTCGTGAAAAGTTGAGAGCCTTCCTATAGAAATCTGGAATAAGAAAAAAGATGCCCAATTTTGCCACTTCCGTTCAACATAGTACTGGAAGTCCTAGGCATAGCAGTCAGACATGAAAAAGAAATAAAAGGGATCCAAATTAGAAGAGAAAAGGTAAAACTGTCACTATATGCAGATGACATGATACTACATATATAAAACCCTAAAGACTCCACACAAAAACTACTACAGCTGATGAACAAATTCAGCAATGTAGCAGGATGCAAGATTTACATACAGAAATCTGTTGTATTTTTTATACTAACAATGAAATATCAGAAAAAGGAAGAAAAAAAATCACTTTTAAGTCACATGAAAACAAAAAATAGTTCAGAATAAACCTGACCGAGGAGGTGAAAGACTAATGCACAGAGAACCACAAAACACTGATTAAGGAAATTAAATTAAATTAAGGATTTAAAGAAATGGAAAGATACGCCATGCTTCTGGATTGGGAGAACTAATATTCTTAAAATGTCCATATGACCCAAAGCAATCTACAGATTTAATGCAATACCTGTCAAACTGCCCAGCACTGTTGTCACAGAAATAGAACAAATATTCCTAAAATTTATATGGAGTCACAAAAGACCCAGAACTGTCAAAGCAATACTGAAGAAAAAGGTATGAAGGAATAACCCTCCTAGACTTCAGACAATACTACAAAACTATAGTAATCAAAACAGCATGGTACTGGCACAAAACCAGACATATGGATCAATGGAACAGAATAGAGAACCCAGAAATAAACCTACACAGCTACAGTCAATTAATCTGCAACAAAGGAGGCAAGAATATACAATGGAGAAAAGACAGTTTTTGTGACAACTGCTGTTGGGAAAGCTGGATGGTCGCATGTAAATCAATAAAATTAGAACACTTTCTCACTCCATTGACAAATATAAACTCAAAATGGCTTAAAGTCTTAAACATAAGACATCATAAACCTCCTAGGAGAGAACATGGGCAAAACATTCTCTGATATAAATCTTAGCAGTATTCTCCTAGGGCCGTCTAGAGAGGCAGTAGATAGAGGAGCAAAAATAAACAAATGGGACCTAATTAAACGTATAAGCTTTTGCACAGCAAAGGAAACCATAAGCAAAACAAAAAGACAATCTACAGAATGGGAGAAAATATTTGCAAAAGATCAGAATGACAAGGGCTTAACTTCCAGAATATATAAACAGCTCATACAACTTAATGAGAAAAAAAAAAAAAAAAAAAGACCCAATCCAAAATTGGGCAGACCTAAACAAGCAATTCTCCAGTGAAAACATAGAAATAAATGGCCAATACACACATGAAAAAATGCTCAATATCACTAATCATCAGAGAAATGCAAATCAAAATTACAATGCTTAGGATGTGTTCATTCCTGCAAAATATATATTAAAGGACACAAGATCCATGGCTAAATTTAATTTTAAAACTAACAGTTAGAAAATAGTAATCCCTTCCAATTAAATTGCGACATTGAGATATACCAACTCCTGAGATGCAAAAAGTGTCTGTCCTGAGATGGTAAGTGAACGTGGCTGCCCTAAGACACAAAATAGGTGTGTTCTGAGATGTTAAAAGGTAAAAAGATGTGGCTCTGGTAATCTAAACCTAAAAACATGTCTCCCCCAAAATGAAGTTTGTGTGAACTGAATTCAGACTTTGTAGACTTATTGAAATAGCCATTCCAGTCTTAGTATTTCTCGGAAAATTTAAATTCTCTATCTTGCATACTTGAAGAAAGGAAGATATTCCCAACCTTTCTACTGGTTAAAAATACAACAGTAAAGGCATAAAGGGTTTCACAAAATGGAAAAATCATTATTAGCTCAGAAATGCTTAACATGTATGAAAGTGTATTACATTATCCCCCGAATCACTGAACTAAGATTTTGTTTCTGTTGATATCTTTAGAAAGCTACGATTCTTTGCACAGAGTCTCTAAGTAATGAATTCTTTCAATTTCATTAATCTAAGGCCATATTTTAACATCTAATCCAGTAAGTTTTTGATATTGCCCCTGAGCTCTCATTCTCCAGGATCCCACACACATTGAGACCAGTAGATACTATGAAACGGTATTCAACATAGAAAGAACTTTTAGAAAAACAATTAGAAACTGTATGGTGCCTCGATATATACTGATCATTATCATATCAAAACACAGATTATACAGGTCACAAAAATTAAATCTATGAATTAAAACAATCTAGGAAACTGAGCAGAGAAACATCCCACATTTTAATTTCAACAAATTAGTATAATAATCAAATCTTTTAATTTCTGTAATTATAATTCTGTAATTCCTAGTTATCAAAATAATCAAGGAAATAAAAAAAATATATTAAGCCATTTGATTCTCCACTTCTGCATGTTATAAATTACCTGGATGACTTACCTTATCTTTTCTTTGCTTTTCATCCTGGTATACCGTCCAGTGTTCTCCATCATTGCTGTAAGCTAGTTTGTAGGACCCTACAAACTGCACATGACCAAAATCTTTAGCTCCTTGTGTAATAATGCCAGTCACCTTGGTAGGAACCAGAAGATCCACCTAAGAAAAGGAAAAGGCATAATTTAAATGCCACAATATAATCCATTATAAATGTTCAATTCTCTTGAACATAAGAGATTCAGAAATACATATGCTAAAGCCAAAAATCTACTTGATTATTTGCACTTTGAAATGCATGACTGAGTCTACTATTGGCTTGTAATTTTGATTATGCCCCTGGATAAACTTAGTTTAAAACTTGAGCAACCATTTTGATCACTTTTAAATAAAATGATGGTCATTTCAGCCTACCAGTCAATTTTGTATTAAACTGATTCCCCTCATGGGTGATTTTTGGGGAACTGAGATGGTACGGGATGGGCGAGGCTGACCTTCCTGGGGCTGATCGTTACCTCCTAGGGTTTGTGCTTATAACTCAGTTTCTTGGCTTTATTGGTCAATTCAATAATAATAAAAATAAAATTGTAGCTGTGTACATATCAGAAATGAAAATAATATTTGATGTTTCATAATTAAATATTAAATAAAAAGTCAACCCTGTTTCCATGAATTTTAATCAGTTAAGTAATATAAAATTGAGTAATAGTAATCACTGTCTACTGAAAATCCTCTTTCAGAAGACTACAATCCTAAAAATGTGGAAGAGGAAGTCAAGTATTTTTCAAAAATGAAAGAGAATTAAAATACACATCTATGACTTGTGGGACCTGTGCTTAGGATGTGTTCATTCCTGCAAAATATATACTAAAGGACAAGAGATCCATGGTGATTTATAAGCATTAAGTTCTTCAAATGCAAAATTGAAATGCAAAAAAAATCAGGATGATTTTCATCAAAGACTATGTAACATTGAATAAGTTAGTATTCCTACTCTCTGTTCTCTTATTCATGCATCTTTTCTTCTATTTATGATGCTAATTAAAAGAAAAATTATAGGAAACTTTGTTTTCCATGTGGACAATTCTTACAAGACCTTTAGCATTTATTGTATTAATGTTCCTTGATCTATAGCTTCCTCTCTCCTCCTACAATAGCCACCTACTTCCTCCTACTTCCTCTGACTAAATAAATGTCCTCTTACATCTTTGATCCTTATCATCTTTAATTGTCACGATCCCATGTGTGATCTTGGTGACTTTCAACCACTATGTCCTTTTGTTTCTATTTCAGGTTCTCCATCCTGAGAGAGGTACCCAGCCACAAATAGACAGTCATAGGTCAGACACAGGCCACGAATGAGAAGAGTGAGCTGGGGGAAGGCACTGACTAGACCATATTTAGTGACACAGATGCTCATCAATAAGGATACAAAAACAGCTCCCAATGTTTCACTGCCTAGGAATATATTTCCTAAAAAACACACTTTCCCCTCACTTTCTGGACCATTAATTTAAAGACATTAGGCTCAAACTGGACAATGGATGAAGTCAGAAAACTGCCTTTAATGCTTTATTAAAATATTCTAGAAACTTTATCAAAAATCTAAAAACGATTTTGTTTCTGCTATTTTCCAAACACGTATTACATCATCTAAAATATCTTGGGTGTCCAGGAGCAATGTGGGCTAGTGAAATTATGATATCCTGGGAAGGAAACTGTTGCGGCCTCACACCATGCTAAGTGCTTCCTTGCCTGCCTTCCTTGACGCTTAACGATCTTGTACGGTGGGGTATTATTTCCACTTGAGAGGGAACAGATGCTTAGGGAGGTAATGTCACATGATGTTGGACTCCAAGAGAAACAGTAAAGGGAGGACCCCAGATTCAAATCCATGTCTTTCTGGGTCAGAGTTCCGGTGTACATATGAATTCTCACTCAATGATTTCTTCCCCTTCTCTGCGACTATTTCAGAAATTCCTGAAGAATCTCAAAGTTTCTCACCACATTCATCAAACTTACAGTAACCCTAAGACTCAAACAAAAAGAACCCTAGCCTTACAATATTAGGGGCACCCTGTCTTTAAACATGAATTTCCTCTCTTTTCCGCAGCTGTCTGGACTTGAAAATATGGATTGCTTTTGCTGTCCTAAATCCAAATCTAATTGCACAGAAACGTCTAGGCACAGCCGCTGGTCTTCAAAGTGCTCGTAATGTTGCTGACACTCAATAAATGGAAAAAAAACCCTTACAGTCCTCTGAGTCACTGTGCTGTCGTCAAGGCTGTAAACACAGGAATTCAAACTGTCATTGAGAATACGAACACCTCCAGGGCTGGATTCTTCAGTGCCTACACGTCTTTAAGTCCTAAGCTAAGATGACGCAATGAGGAGTCTGGTAGCATCTCTTTTTCAGTGGTATTTCTTAAAGTCAGGGTTTCCTGCTGGGTGGAGATGTTTTCTCCTTAAGTTGTGTGTCTTGGCTCTTTCTCACAGATCTGTTTTACTCCCACTCTCACTGCTCCCCTTCTCCAGCAATTTTTTTTTTTGATCTAGAAATGTTTTTCTTTTTTGTTCCAGCTAAGTCACTTCTCGATTTAAATAGTCAGCAATCTGTTTCAAGCTGGATTTTGTCCTAAAATATGCTACATTATAAACTTAGAATACCAGGCCTAAGCAAGACTTATTTCAGTCTAAAAATACTCAGCATCCCACACTTAACACGAGGTTGCTGCAGCAGGGCATGTACAGACCTCACTCTGAGATACACCGAAAGGACGTGCCACTCTCATGTTCAGCATGCAGAAAAGCCCATTCCTCTGGACCTATGCCTACCCCTGGCCCAGGATCACTCTGCCCGCCTGCAGATTTTCTGAGTTAAAGTTGTACTGCAAACATGCTTCTGCTGTTTTAGACCCTCACCTCCCAAGGTTTGGCTCAGACAGAGCAGGTTATTTAGGGCACTAGGCTTAGTGCACTGAACTTCACGCCTGGATCTGTATTAAAAGTGCCTTACATGTAGCGGTTTCTTAATAAAGGTTTTGCTGGGTTGAGCTGGCACAACTTCCTAAGCATGCTCTACAGACAAAACCAACTGACAGCTAAGAAGGCCACAATGTGTCACATCAGAAAATGCTAACTGCTTTTCTGTTGTTTCTCTACGTGACATTACTGGTCAAGAAAACACAATGTCATGGTTGTACCAACAATTTTTTACTGGGAAGAGAACTAGTTAAAAAATCCTCTCCAGAGTGTGGAGAAATGGGAACACTCTTACACTGTTGATAGGAATGCAAATTGATGCAGCCACTAATGACAACAGTATGGAGGTTCCTTAAAAAACTGCAAATAGAGTTACCATATGATCCAGCAATCCCACACCTGGACATATACTGGAAAAGAACAAAACTCTAATATGAAAAGATGCGTACACCCCCATGTTCGTAGCAGCATTATTTACAATAGCCAAGACATCGAAGCATCCTAAATGTCCATCGACAGATGACTGGATAAAGAATATATATATATATATATATATATATATATATATATATATATATATATGTGTGTGTGTGTGTGTGTGTATATATAT